CATACACAATTTTAAAGTCATGAATATTGTTTGTTTGCACTATGTAATGGTTTTGGCCTTTATGTATACGACACACTTATTTTGTTGATGGTTTCTTTGCTTATATCACAAATAGTTTTATAATCACTAAAATCGTCATTAACAACAATGTGTGGCATTTTTGAGGGTATAGGATCGCTTTCACGCGTGTTCACTTTGTTTTCACTATTTTTAACACTTTGTTTATCATTTGTATCCGAATTTATACGGCGCCTTTTTGCATTCTCACCGTTTTTGTCACACACACTATTTGTTTTGTTATTTATATTGTCTATGTTTAATATTTTAGCCAGTTCTTTGCTCACTTTAGTACAAGCTAAGGGATGTTATTAACACAAAAAATTTGCCGTTTGGAAACTCATCGTGTAGTTGTATTGTGGTTTTTCTCGAGCGCGTCGATGTCGATGGGTTTTAATTATGACTAATTCTTTCAAATCTGTCGCACATTATAGCAAAGTTTAATACTTTGTATCTTGGACAATATGGTCCACGTTTCATATGAAAAGTATTTTGTGAACTGCTTTTATACTCGATTCCAACATCTGAAATGTATCCCGCCCGGAGGAATGTCGCTAGTTATTGTGGATGTAGATACTTCATCTTCTATTTTTATAATATATTCTGACATCGTATATTTCTTCTCATTATGTTGATCCATCGTAAACGATTTTAAATGCTGTGGAATCAGTCCGCATGAACACAGTACTCTTTTCAAATCACATTTTCATTTTCCAATATAAAATGGTTCTTTTAAGAGTCATTGGTATTTATTACTACAAATTTTGGCGCACACATTTGGCGAATTTCTTGAGATTAACAATTAAAGATTTCAAGGAAATTTCAATTTCTTAGTAGGTGACAAACTTTATTCACAAAATGTCAAATTCTACATTTTAAATAAAAGAAATTTAAAACTAGTGGGGTGTATGGCATCGTGCCTTAACCCTTTTAGTGCCGGGCGAAATGGAGGTGCCTATGCGAGAAAAACCGGCCGAATTTCACAGTTTTACAAGGGTTCGGGAAAATGCTTATAAAAACCAAACGAGAAACGGGCGGATTATCTCTTTCGAAATATGTAATTGTTATCGGTAATATAACATTGCTGAAACAAAATTATGTTGTCATAAATATTTATATATATATTGCAAATGTGTAAAATTTTGTTATTGCAACTCACACAAATAATTTATTTAGCATTCGTGGCTACTAATGCACACTCCATGCAATCCTTTGTTGCACTTATTGCAAACTGTGCGTGCGTGATTTTCTCTTTGGGCCACCATCCTTTCTGCTGCACACCACGCAAACCCTTTCCAGTTTTCCAGGCAGTTTCCGTACACCTATGCGGGGCACATTTGTTGAAGTTTCCGCTAATGGTGTGTCATGTGCTATCCTCTTTAGTGCCAACCATTCAGTGGTTATCGACTGGATAACATCAGTAATGAATTCCAGTCTTGTTTTGGTTTTGCCGTCTGTATTGTGCCGATATAATATGTAGGCATTCAACACCATTCGGGAGAAAATGGAGAAAACTACTTTTTCCCAATATTTGATGGCTCTTCTTTCATCTAAGTATGAATATAGCATCATGTCTGACGTGTCTACGCCTCCCATGTGTTTGTTATATTCAGCTACGATTGCTGGTTTTTCGACCTGTATTTGTGCATTCTTTTTCCTGATTGTAGTCGTTTTGTTCTGAGCCTTCTCAAATGTGGACATCAGTAAAACATTTTTCTTTTGCGACTTTTTTCCCCGGTACGCTAATAGTAAGACTTCATTATTTCGGGCGTACTTAGATGCGCCCTCTTGCAATTTAGTCTTCATAAACGATGGAATATATTTCCTGTTGCTGCGGATTGTGCCAGTCAGATATGTCCCTCTTTCAAACAGTGCTCTTGCTAAGGGAATGCTTGTAAAAAAGTTGTCTGCTATCACGTGATAGCCTTTCATAAAATAATTGCCCATATTCAATAATTTATGAATCACGACGTGGCCAAGACCATTCTTCTTTATTTCTTCTTTATCTGTTTGATCCCTAGCTCCTCTATAGCAGAAGAACGATAAGCAGTAATGGGTAACTGCATCAGTCAACATTCAAAACTTGATACCCCACCTGTGATGCTTTTTATTTGGCAGATATTGAATCAACGACGTTCTACACTTCGTGCAGGCTAATGATTCGTCAATACTCAGATGTTGGTTAGGCGAATAATGAAATTTGAACTTATTGTTTGCATGGATAACGACTGGTTGAAATTTTGCTGTAGGGTCATATTCTGGATTATCACGTGTTGGTAATTTTTCATTGTCTACTACGTGGAAAAACCTACAAACTAATTGAAATCTGTTGCGACTGAACATTTGGCCAAACCATGGGATTTGTCTGTGGTTTGTTGACCAATAACTGAAAAGTGTCGGTCTACGTGTTATACCCATTTCCAAGAGCACAGCAATAAAAGCCCTTACTTCTGAAACTGTGGTTGTCTTCCACTCTGTTGTTCTGGATCCTGAGGGAACATTGATTCTATTGAGAAACTGCCTGGCATATCGATTCGTCTCATTTCTCAATAAGCTCAAAAATTCTTCCGTAAAAAAAAGATCAAAATACGCTCTCGGCATGGAATTTCTTTCTGGCATATGCTTAGGCCCAGCAATCTCCATAAATTGTGGGCGAGGATTATATTCGCTGTCGTTGGCCACGGTAACTTCACGGAAATCTCTCAGCTCTTCCTCGGTATCGTTTCCCTCTAATTCTGATTCGCTATCATCGCTCGCTTCACTATCACTGTAGATCCTACGTGGATGCCGACTTCTTGGTGCCACGATTTCTTCCTCGTCACTATGTGCTAGATCCAACTGGTCAACCATTCGGACTATTTCCGCGTCAACCATGACGTTTTTTTTTTTATAAAACGGTTGATGGTAAAATTTTCCTCAAAAGCAACAATGTTTGACACAAGCGAAAAACAACGGTAATAACACAAAACACGCTTTCAAACTGTAAATGGGACGAAATATACTGTTCACATCAACGATCGTGGAGAAACTAACTGATCCTACGTTTCGCTGCGGCAATGCGATGTTATTTTGTGTCGACACGTCGACACGAACACTGTCGACAAGTACCGATAAGGGTCCAAATCCACAGCGATTTACGCCGCAGATCGAATATCGCCTGAGTGGCGACCATCGGTGTTTATGTTAGACTTCGGTACCTCCAAGCGTCGTCCACAAAGAGTTAAAACGAAAAACTATTTTTTTTAATTCTCTCATAGTGAAATTAGATCATTTATAACGTATTACAAATTTATTTTGAGATAGAGTTCTCCCGCAATGCGAATAGTAAAGCGCTACGAGGCGCGGGCCGATATATCGGCTCTGGCACTTCTCGCGAGTGTAGAAGGAGCCGATATATCGGCTCCCGGCACTCAAAGGGTTAAGGCAAATTGCTGGAACTCCCCGTACCGTAACGAAATGTTCAAGAACTATTGAATGTTTTCAAATAGATTAGTATAAATATTGTAACATTGTCTAATATTTATAAGAATTATATAAACTGAATTGTAAAGATAAACATATTTGTTTAAAGTACATTTTGAACTTTAGTCAGAATTACGACTAAAATCTGAATTATTTTCGAAATACAAAAAAGAAATTTTTTTGAAAAAAAATTTGAAAAAAAAAAATTAAACAAATTTTTTTTTCCAAAATCAATTATTTTGTTAAAACAAGCAGAAAGTTCTTTGAATCATTGAAATCGGACGCATAGTTCTCTCAAAAACTGCCATTTTTTGCATATTTAGCTCTATATCTTCGAAATGGTTAGTCCTGCCTTTGCCAATAACTAATAACCACTTCTCCCAATCATTACTAATTGAATGTTGTTTAGATCATTCAAATCGGATGCTCCATTCTCTCAAAAACTCGACTTTTATTTTCTGCACTCTTTCCTCCGTATCTCCGAAACGGCTAGACCTGCCTTTGCCAAAAACTAATCAGCTTTTCTCTTTATCAATAGGAATCAAATGTTTTTTGAACCATTCAAATCGGTTGATCCGTGCGCCCGGAAACGTGACTGGAAATTTGTATCCATACATACACACACACACATCCATTTTTTTTTGAGGTATGCCAAAATGTTCAGAAACCTTCAAAACGTCGAGAAATGTGAAAATTTTCAATTTAGATTTTCCCTACGGGAAGTTAAAAATATATGAAAATATAGCCTGAAAGATATTAACTGCTCAGTAAAATATATTACACTGAAATAATTGTTTAATCAATTGGTAGACTTTGCATAACAAACCACTACATAAAAAGCATATAAGGTAAATCGAGCAAATCGTTTGAAAGTGTCATTTTTTATATTTAGAAATTTTTCGGATTATATTGAATCGGTTAGTTACATGTGCTATTATTTGAACAAGTATAATTTTTTTCATGAGTTTTTTGTTAGCGAAAATAAATCTATAAAATATGCGTTGGCAAATCAGTTAAAGTACAGTTTACCAAATATTCAAATTGTATATTGTATTGTTAACGTTAAAGTTTTGGTAGTTTCCTTGAATGACTTTTCGAAAGTAATGTGTGTGTGGTCATTGAATATGTAAAATTTGTTAAAACATATTGGAATCGAATAGATATTTTATTTGTTGAATGCAAACAAATTTGAATATGATATTAATAACAAGAGATGTTAGAATAATACATTGTGGTCAAACAAATTATAATGGACTAGTGAATTTGAAGTATGTGCACAAACATAATTGCAATATACGACAGCTATAAAAATAATCTGTAGACATAATTTTCTCAGTTTATTAACAATAACTTATGAATGATGGTTGATACTAACTAGTAACTACTGATAATATAATATAAAATTGAGATTTCATTGCAACCAGATAAAGAACAATTACTGGAAACAAGTATTACTGGAAGTGAAACAATCTAATTTTTAGGGAAATTGTGAGCAGAATGTTGAATTTGTATTGCAAGGACACACTTATTTCGATATGAATGACGACGGTATAAATATGATTAAAAGCAAATGCTGCATAGTTTTGCTTCTACATGAATTAACATGAAAAATAAAATACGTCATGAAAGAAATTAAAATGGACTCAACACGTAAGTGCGAGTTATTGCATTTTCTGTATTTAGATATAAATATACATAATAATTACGATTCATATATCAAATGAAATATGATAAGGATTTCTATGGCTGAAAATCTTCAGATGTGTGTTTGTCTTATTGTTCACAAGTCACACAGAATTATATGCGACAATAGAGAAATTTGATTTACAATAATCATTGGCATGGGACACATTCAATGATATTGATATATTTAAAAAAAAAGTGACACCACAATAAACAGCAATATCTTCAAGGCATTTGTCCTTCAATTACCTCTACACATAATCAATCAGGAGGATGGTTTGGATTTGTTATCTATGGAAGAAATGGTTGTATCATATAATTTATTGAGAAATAAAGATATATTAATACTACTTACAGAAATTTTTCTAAGTAGTGCAGATTCATTCGTTCAATTCAAAAGTAAGTGATGATGAAATAAATTTTGAACCTTCACCTGACTTATCTGATCTCTGGTCCAAGTTGATATCAATCTTTACCGAATTATTTGTATAATGACCGTAATTTTTATACATCTATCATAATTCATATAATTAATATATACATTGACATATGTCATGCAACATATATATTATATAAATAAAAAGTAAGATTTAGTGAGATCGATTCGTGCTCACTCAACGACATTTGAAATTGATGTCAAAAAGTTGGATGGATTTTTGCAACTATTAAGATAGTCTTGGATGATAAAATTAATTCGAAATGCAAAAAATTACATTTAACTGATTTTAAATATTCAATGAACAACACTCCATATAATGCGTAAGATATAATAGTACTTTATTAAGTTTTAGCCAATATTTATAATTCAAAACTACCAACACTCAAAAACAAATCAACAATGCAGACAAATATACCATTTTCAATGTGGTAATATCAATGTAAAATTATATAAATCAATCACTATATTGCTATAATGATAATTACATCAAGGTATTTTTCCTTATAGTTATATTTTCGTATTCTTTCTTTCTACTGTTTTATTAAACATATGCATATTCAACGTCGCACAAGATTTATTTTTGACTATACAAGATACTGCACATTTAGTAATTTGTTAAATTCATATTTTTAACTTCCCGAAGGAAAAGTTTGTTTTCATCAAAAAATTCGATTCGCTAATTTTAAGTTTTCTCGACGTTTCAAGCCATTCTGAATCGAATGAGACCAAATTTGAAAAAAGTGTGTGTGTGTGTGTGAACAAATTTTTTGCCGTAAATCGACGTTTTCTCAAAAACAGCTGGACCAATTTCAAAAATTTAAAAGCTATTCGATGTATCTCGATGGGGAGTGCAGTTTTTCAGTTTTGTGCAACGATCGGCCGAGCCGTTTCTTCGCAAATAGCAGAAAAGTGAAAAAAATTTCGTCCACGTTTTAGCCCGCAATTCTGAATCGATTTTGAAAATTCTAAAACCGTACGAAAGATATTGGTTGGGAATCGTGCTGATTAGTTTTTGGTACAGATCGGCCGGGCCGCTTTCTTGTAATAAAGTGTTAAAAAAAATTTTTCGACGATTTTTATATTTTTTTTCACGTTAGATACTTTAGTCTTATAGATCATACTAAAATATTACGACCCTACTACAAGTCGTTTAATTTTAAAAATTCTTCAAAGTTTGCAAAAATTAGTGTCGTTTTTTCGGCATTTGTCAAATATGGACCTTTCATCGACGTTCGCTCGAGAACGCCTGAACCGATTTCAGAAATTTAAAAGCCATGAGGATTATCGTTTGTCAGTTCGTTTGATCGTTTTGCGACGATCGGCTGAGCCGTTTTTTTAGTAATTTGGCAAAAATAGTTAAACTTTTCGTCCACATTTAAACTCATACTACCGAATCGATTTTAAAAAATCAAAAACTGTGCGAAAGATATTAGTTGGGAATGATACTGATTAATTTTAGGTGAAAATCTACCGAGCCGTTTTCTTGTAAGTAATAGTTGAAAAAAAAATTTAGGCCGATTCTTATGAAACTTTTTTTGATGACATATCATGGTCTTACAGAACTTATTGAAATATTACGGCCTTAAGGGGGGCGATACATGTAACAAGAAAAAAAAAATCGATTTTTTTTTTCTTCAAAAATCGTTACAATAACATCTCAAAAATATGCCTGTAAATATTCAAAACAAAAATTATCATTATTTATACAATAAAAACTCATTTAGGTGCCACGCCTCAACTCGACGCTGAGTGCTATTGTACTCTTATCTGTTTCTGTGTCAAAACTTTTAAACGCGTTTTTCTCAAAACGACATTTTTGAAATTTGCGGGCGGGATAACTCAAAAAGTTCTCAACCGATTCCAATGAAATTTTGCACACATCTACTTTACAGTAATAGCTTCTAGTTAAACCTCAAACATTCCAAAAAAATTTTCAAAAATTAACCCTTTTACCAAAAAAAACCATTGAAAAAAAGGTGAAATCGAATAAAGGGGAATTTTTTTTCTTCAAAAATTTTTTTGGTTTAAACTAGAAGATACATGTTTTATGAACACGTACAAACTAATTTTTTTAAATTAGATCACCGTACGAAAAGTGAGAACGCCCGCAAATTGATGGCGTTTTCTGAGGGGTCTTGGCAGATTTATTTTACGGCAGCCATTTAAAAAAAAAAAAAAATAAAAAAAAAAAAATTGTGTACTTTAAATATAATAAATAACCCTAAAAAAGTTCAAAAAGATTCAATCATTCCTTCCCAGTTTAAAAAGTCCTCAAAAAATGGTAAAAATTAAGGCGATTACATGTATCGCCCCCCTTAAGACAAGTAGTTTAATTCCAAAAACTCATCAAATTTTGAAAAATATTTATATGTATATGTATTTACCATAATGCTTTAAATAAGTTTTACAATATGCATAGCACATCTTATTACTTTTATTTGCGTGTTCATATATGTATATATGTATACTTTTGTGAATGCATATGTATATTCTATTCTTTTTCTTCGCATATTTTTTTATATTTTATAAGGTCTCCTAAATTAATTCTTCTATTACCTTTGGTATAAAAGAAACACACGAAGAAATTATATACAGAGTTTATTGAACACACAGAAATAATAATTTTACATTTGCGAAGACTTGTTGTTTGTTAGGCGGCTTAGACAGAACAGGACGCGCTTGTGTAAAGCGTAGTGCAATCCTAGCATAAGACACTCTCCTAGTAGTGGGGGAGGCCGTTACAGAGCGGCGCGAAATTTGAATACAAAATTTAATCGTCCATCCTCCCTGGCGATGCCAATCATCCATATTTCTTAGAATGAATACTTTCCTTATAGGTCCATTTTTAACATCTAAACTGGCTTAAAGTATATAAGTATACCCAAAAAAAATATAATATTGTTTCAACATAGAAAACTGATATTTACATACATTAGCTTAATCGATAAAATCTTAATGATAAAGTGGACTGTATAAATGAAGTAATATTGTTACAATCTAACATCCTTAAAATTACTTAAATAATTATTATAAATCAATTACAAAATAGGAATAACTACGTGTATGGAAATAAGTATGAGACAGTCGATAAATATGATGTGTAGTTAATAACTTAAATTAATCATTAACAAATTGCTTAATTCTTAACATTGATATAATTATTATACATACATTGCATGGTAACTTAAGATATTTGAAGAATTAATTATTACAGTTTAATTAGTCGGCACAGGGTAATGGCACAATCTTTACAATTGGTCTAGTGTGATGACCAGTAGTGGTTTTTACTACAACCACCCTAACCTTTCCATCCTGACCTACTCTACATTCTGTTACCCGACCTAATGGCCATTGTAAAAGAGGAGTGTTATCCTCTTTTATCAAAACAATGTCATTAACGTTATATTAGCTTGGGAAATTGTCCATTTGTTTCTGCCATCTCAACTATTGTTTAAATATTGAGTAGACCAAATCTTCCAAAATCGGTCTCTCATTGAAGTCATTTGCTTAAAAACCTTACTGTGGTTAACTTAAAAGCTAAAAGTGGTCTTGAATTCAAGACTGCCTCAATCAGAGTGAGGACCGTGAGATACTCTTCATATGTCAGACAGTATGACCCTATCACTCTACGAATATGGTGCTTCATGCACTTTATGGACCCTTCCCATAGACCACCAAAATGTGGTGAATATGACGGAATGTATTGCCATATGATTCCTAACTGGGCACTCACGTCTATTAGATGTATTAGATATACAATTCACAATTTTACAATTAAATAACAAAACAACCAAATATAAAATACAAATAAAAGAGTGGTAAACTAATTTAATTTTGTGTCTTGATTTTATGAAACTTGATATTACGTCTTCTTCGTTTAGAACATCCTCAAAAGTTGAGGTCTTGTTTATCCATTAATTTGCAGAAATTATTAAAAAGTTTAGCAGCTAAGTAATACTCAGTGATATTTTAGGAACGGTAAGAATGTTATACTTCTGAAAAATGTTTCTACAACTTATCATCGAGTTGAGAGAGAAGATTATTCTTAGCGCTCTTTTCTGAATCTTGAAAACATGTTTTAAGGATGCTGAAAAAACCCAAAATTGAATGCCATAGACCAAATGCGAGTAGAAGTTGGAGTAATAGATAGAAAGAAGACAATTTAAACTAATTTTAGATTAAAGCACTCTTAACATGAAACAAGTTCTGGAAAGTTTAGGTATTAATGACGAATAAATATGATCATCCCAATTTAAATTTTTTTGAATTTGAATTCCTAGGAATTTAGAAACGGCAGAAAAATTGAAGAGAACATCGTTAATAATTAGGGAATTGATTTCGTTATTAATCCTATTAACTGTTCGAAACGACATTATTTTAGTTTTATCGTTATTAAGTAAAAAATTATCAGAGTTGAACCAATTAGA